TTTTTTTTTTTTACAGATGTCGCCTTTAAAAAAACATGTCAATACAAAAAGGATCATTTAGGTTCTAGAACAACTGCAATCTAAAAAGATACCTGTTACTGTCCAAAGTGCTAATAGTTGAAAACAAGCAATAACCTTAAACTGTACAAGTCCCAAAACTACTGCAAACTAAAATTTGCCATAATTAAATTTCACTTGCAATAATTCTCATAATGAATTTGTCAACATTTCTGCAAATTTTCCACTAAAGCTTTCAGAATAAGACATCCCATCATGGGATGATTTATGCGTCGGACCAGCCTTACGACCAGTGTATGTGCGCTGCACTTCTGAGAAGTAGTTCCCCCAGCATGTCCAAAAGCTACCAGTGTATCCCATAAAAAAATAAATGGCAAGAACCAATTCTCTGACCTGAACCACAGGAGAACATCCAGATGAGTGGTTCTCAACCTGTGTAACCTCAGGATCCACATTTGTCTTTGGTCATTAAGTCATGACCCCAGTCACACCACACTGGAGTCCAGGGCATTGCGGTACTGCACGTTTCGGTGCAGGTGAGCGAACTGTGGATGGTGCGTTTGGGGTGCCATTGATATGAATGGCAATGCAAAACAGCTCCCACACCAGAATTTGCAATGGGTGAGATTTTGTGTGATACAGTGCATCACATGGACTGTGCGATTAACCTATTGTACCAGTGTGAACAGGCCCTCAAAAACACTGACAGACACACTCCCACAGGTCCACCCAATCTCCCTACCTTACGAGAAATGGGGTGGATCCTCAGCCTGGGGTCCAGTGTGGGCTGCTGTGCTGTAGCGCCATCCATATGTGCATTGCTTGTAGAACTCCCTTGCGTCCCTGTAGTGGTGCCAGGAGCCAGAATGTGACATCTCTCTGGTCCAGGCACCTCTATAGAACACGCGAGGGAGCTGTAAGCAGTGCACGTATGGATTGAGCTCCCTCGTGTCCATACCTCCAGCCCACCCCACCTCAAGCCGACACTCGGCACCTGGCAGCATGTGCTGTGCTAGGGGGAGGCGGAGAGCCTTTAACCTAGAAAAGAGGAAAACACGCGGTGACCCATTGTTTTGAGTCGCAAACCACTTTCGGCTCATGACCCACCTGTTGAGAACCAAGGATCTAGGGTATAACAAGTCTGAGGGTCCAGTTATAACCAATAATTCCCACCCCTACCCCATGTGCCTGCTCACAACAAAAGCTGAAAAATTGTACTTGAGATTCAGATATACCATGTAAATCTAATGGATGACTCCCTCTCAACAGATTGAGACTTTACTATAGAATTTACAATCTGCCTGTTTGCATCCCTTCCCCTGGTAGGTGCATGTCTCTCCTCCCTCTTCCTTCTTCCATATGCTTTTGATACCAATAAGAAAATTATTGTATAAGCTTTAGAATGAAAAGGATTTGGTTCAACATTTAGACACACTTATCAGGCAAGGTATACTGCATGTGTACATGTCATAAATGCCTCTTTCAGGCCTGGTTCACACCAGAGCCTTTTTATGTGGATCTATGCGCACACAAACGCCCAAATTACACATTTCCATGCAAGTCAGTGGCAACTGGTCACATCTTAGCCTGGCGCCCCAGATGCAGGAGCTATTTTGGAGGCGGATCCCGTGCAGTTTGGGTCCCATTATTCATCTCTATGCAGTTTGTGAAAACGCACATTTTTTTTAAAGCAAAAGCCGCAGCTCTATTAATCGATTGCAGCTCTGATACTTGATTTAAAGCTAGATGTAAAAAAAATTTCCCCAAGCAGGTCCTCTGAGAATTAAGTCATTTAAAGTGGACCATGCACCTCAGCGACTAGGTCCCCCTGTTTATAGGTACCTCCCCTTCCTTCTTAAAATTAATTGATACCCAGTCAAGGGTCATGATATCATTGCTCTAGTCAGATCTCAGAGAATACAGAGTAGTTATGAGATATGGGCTACTCAGCGTTTCCAGGGATGTCACCTCCTGCACTATGGAAGTTGGGAAATTGAGAGTATATTTAATCTTTTCCTCAATATTTTTCTCTCCTTTTTACATGACATGCACACATTTACATTAATGTCGCATTTAAGGGGAAGAGGTCACACTGAATAAGCAACCCTTGGCTGAAGTGTAAGATCTACTTCAAGCTGTTGTGTTATCTGCTGTGCGTCTCTGTCTCATACATTAAACACAGAAGTAGGACTCTTCAATCCAGTCTTGCAAAAAGTAACATACATTTTATTGCTAAAGAAAACAAATTAAATTTGCTGCAGACATTAATGTTTAAATGCCGTGGAAAGAGCCAAACTCTCAAAAGACATTAAGAGAAATTAGGTGTAAAAAGAAGGTCGCGCACCAACTTGCAGCACACATCAACACAACTCAGGCTTTGCCATCATGAGCATCTAGGATATGTAAAATGGAACAAAGAACAGATCAAACCTCATTCAAGTCCTGGTCAAATCCCAGGAAATCAACTACCACATGCTAATGTTTCCTGCAACACCCTCGCCAAGGATAACAGAGGCTTAATACTTGAAGGTGAACAAAATAACTTCATGCTCCTCCTGGCAGTCAGATAGCCCCCAGCAACCAAATACTTCTTTTGTTCTCTGACCTGCTACTGAAGCATGAAAGAGAACCCAGCCAGTGCTTAGAATACTAAAAATGCCACTTTCATTTTCTGTCTTGAAATCATACTCTTCACCTTCTAGCTAAGTCTATGTGCCTCTGCTACCATGAGACCTTCTTTGCAGCCCCTGACCAATGGCTGTAAAAGAAACTGGTCAGCAGCATATGGTGGGTGGGTGTACTGAAGATAAATCTATTAGACTGCATACAGAGTGGACCGCGTAATTAGGAATCGAACCTCAAAACACATGAAGTACTGGCTAAAAGCACTCAAACTTCAAACGGTTGGTTGGAAGGACGTCTTTGAACTGGAGAGTTCAGAGAAGAGTAACAAAAAAAAATGAATAAGGGGAATGAAGAAGACCTGAGTTATGAATAACTACAGAAATTAAGCTTGTTCTTGGATAATACTCTCAAACGTATTATCAAATGATTAAATTCAGAATATATAATGCCCAGCAAAGTATGTCCTTACATTTTTTGCCCAAGCACTTAGTCATCATGTTTACAAACAGCTGGCTCCACCTCTCAGGTGCACTTCCCTGAACTTCCTGTTCAGTAAAAGAGCACAAGGAAAAGCACAATCTTCAGCAGATGTCCATCTACTACCTTAGAGGAGGGAGTAGAAGGGAGCAGAGAAAAGGGGAGTGGCTTGCCTTGCTGTGCCTGTGGGGACACAGGCACTTACTAGCACACACAAGGGTGGCTCCGTAGAGCCCTCTAAGGGAAAGGAGCCACCCTAAACCAGGATATCAGGGCCAGCACTTAGGGAACCAGCTGATTCTGCAGGAAACTACAACTTTTAAACATAAAAAGGAGCAGCATCCATTGTCCATGGCTTAAAAATCTTTTGACTTCAAGATCACTTTAAGAGGAGATAGGATTGCAATAGTCAAATCCATCAGTATGACTCCCAGTATCAGGAATAAACAGTCTAATCCAGGGATGGACAAACTGATCTAGAATTCAGGAGCCATTCTGTCCAATCAAGGGGCCAGAAGGATTTTTTTTGGGGGGGTAGTCAGCATCATTACCATCAGCTACAGAAAACCTCAAAAGTTGATATGCCTCCTGCAATTGTTAAGGAGCAATGGTGATCCGGGATTTGTCCAGTCCTGGTAACCAATTAACAAGAAGCAGTTTAATCCTAAAACCTTATTGTAAAGTAGCCACCGCTCCAAGCTCGCTCCCATGATGGACTACAATCTCATGTTTAGTTTACTCTTTTGTATTGGAGCTTGTAGTCCATCCGGGGAGTGAGCTTGGAGCGGTGATTACTTTACAACACACACACACACAGAAGCCATGGGGAACAAAAGCAGCCTCCCTCCAGAAGGAAGGACAGTGTCAGCACCAATTCAGAGATGATTTAAGGATCTACATCCAAGTGATACACAAATAAGATACATTTTTGTTCATTGGTTTAAAAATGGTACTTGAATGCCAAGTCAATGGAAACTGATTGCTACTGCCTACTGAACGCAGTTAGTTTACAGCTGGAGGGCTGCATGAACACATTTTAATATCAACACTACACAGTGCATGGTACAGTGGCCACATGGATGGTTTTAAATAAAATTCACTTAACATATTTGCCATGATCTTCATTTTTATCAGTTAAGATGTCAAGATTTGCATACAATATCCTGTATTTTGGGGCTTGTAGGACTGAGAAGACATGCATTCTGTGATGTGGTTTTTGAAGCCTTCAGTTATGACCGCTTTACTTTAAGCCCATTGACATAATAATGGATATAAATAACTAAGTGGCACCTAAGCATACACCAGTTAATGGGCCATCGTATCCAAAAGCAAGAGCAATAAAAGCGCAATAAAATAATTATACATCATTTTTAGGTTTTAACTTTATTCTTCTTGGATGATTTCAAAATGATTGTCCGCTATGCATTAATTTAGCCAGAGTTTATTCACTGGTGATACAGCGGTTCAGAAGAAGGCATACCTTGTTTAAAACAAGTCAGATTTAGCAAGACATTCTCACAGCCAGCCATGGAATATCAGTGCAACAAAAATAAATAGTTTATGTGGAAACAGATCATGATACTTACAGGAATCATCCAGTTGGCCAGATCTCCATATTTCGACACCTGCATTGCTCCCAGCATTGTCAAATCCACATGGCCCCTATGCAAAAACACATGAGACTAAAAAATAAGCCATGCCAGGGAACACTGATAAAATTTTTACACCGTGAACAAAAGTCAAGCCAGCGAAAATGTTATCCTAACCTGCAAACTATTTACCCCAGAGATGGGGCCTACTTCTATGTATCTAAGTCTAATATTAAATATTGTCTTGTGTATTTTAGCAGAGGATCCAAACGTATTTAGCACAGCAGAAAAGTGAGGAGTTTGTCTAGAGCTGAAAAAAAAAAAAAAATGACAGATTTGTCTACTATGCCTGGAGGAAGCCACAAACTTTCCCCAATATGGCACATTTTTCTAATGTTAAACGATTTGTGGCATTACAAACCTCTTTCTTCAAATTGTCGGTTAAGCAGCTATAAAATAGGAGTAGGAGGGCTCCCACCAGCCATAATCTGTGTGCAGTGCATAAAGAAGCACAAAGACCCAGTGATAACATTCTAAAAGTGCAACTATGGGCAAAGTAAAAAATGATATTTATGATAGTCGGTCACTAGCATTAACACAGCTGATTTTAAGTCTCTCCTGTAACAGTTTTGTTACCCATTGATCCTGTCAGATAGGTTATTTTTCCTCTTCTGGTAATAGGGTGGTAGTGCGGTTTGCAGTGCAGGAAATCAGCAACATGGTCACCTTGTGGTCAGGGAAATCTCACACAGAGATATTTCCCTTCTGAGATAGAAAGACTGATCAGTGGCGTCCCGAGGCTGGGTGACACCCGGAGCGGTAACAGAGTGTCACCCTGCCGAGATGTCACTGCGCATGACGTCACCACGCGTGTGCGCGGTGACTGTCATTGCGCGGCAGTATTCTGATACCTGCCAGCGGCCATCTTGGTGATTGACGCCGGCAGAGAGGGCAGGGGACAGTCACCCGGCGGGATAAGGTATGCCGCCGGGTCCCCTCCTCTCTCTTGATACTGTCGGGCGTTCGGTCCAGAGGGGGCGACACCAAAATGACTGAGTCATTTTGGCGTCACCTCTCCAATGGTGTCACCCGGGTGCGGGCCGCACCCCCCTTGTGACGCCACTGAGACTGAGGACACCGAAGCCTCAATTGTTTTCTGCAGCCCCTGTTATGATTGAACAGGAATCCTCTATACCGAGTGTTCCTGTTCATTCATGATTGTGAACGTTTACTATCTCCACCGGTTATGAACAGGAAGTGATGTAGAGCACCAGCGGACTTGTTCTCCGCACTGCCGTGCTCTGCCTCCTGTGACAGCTGACCACTGTCTCCACCCCCACACAGCTTTCCATTCTGAACAGTCACAGGAGGCTGAGCGGGGCAGTGCGGGACGAGAGCTCCGGCTTCCTGTGACACGCTCGCTCAGGGCTTTCTCCTCCCCCACACTGCTCTCCATCCTGAGCTGTCACATGAGACTGAGCATGGCGGTGCAGAAGGAGAGCACAGCCTCTTGTGACAACGATACCACTCTGCTCCCCATCCTGCTCGGGCTCCTGACAGTTTCTCTCCTCCCCACTGGATGCTGTGCGGTGTCAGAGGGGACACAGAGCAGCACACAGCGGGGAGGAGAGAAGCTAGGAATGCACCGCAATTTCAGCCAAAAAATAGTGCATTTGGCATTTTGGCCAAAGTGCCATTTTCCCCCGATATGTTTCGGCAGACGAAATTTTGGTGGATCCCTAGTCCCCTACCGCTAAAAACACTCTCAGGTCAGTCTGACCTCTTAGAGGAAGCAGAAAAATAACGGCTCTACTAGGAGGATCAAAAATTAACAAGAAGACTGGAAAAAAAAAAACGCACAACACCACTTCATTAATGCTAGGGATATATGGAATGTCATTTTTTCATTCTGCCCATTTAATTTTTCTCCACTATAAAGTAGAAAAGACACAAATTACAAATACAGTACTGAACCACTTACCCTCTGATCATAGCAAACGAGTCATCGCTGGAGAAGAACGCTGCACCTGGAAGAATCGTGACCGTTTCTTTACCTGAAAACACAAAATAGACGTTGATTACTAGAGACAAAATTGTCCCCAACCAGTGTCAGAGCCACAGGTGCCAGATGCCTTCAAAGAGGTTCCTAGGAAGTTTCCTGCAAATTATCCATACCCGTGTATGATTCACAGCATCTTAGACCTCCAATACAGATGAAGTAAAACAAATGTCCAAGTTATAGCCTATTATCTACTGGGTACCCATTTATCCAGGTGTTTTGTTTTTTTGGAGTGCCATTAACCTATTTTAAAGGCTTAAAGCAGATCTCTGGTATAAAGCAAATACAAGAGGGATGTGTATTCTTATTCCCTGGTGTGTTCTGTGTATTACTTCAAGATATGTGCAATAATACAGCATGCAACTTTGCCTTTGTTCAGCAGCTTTCTGTAATAAAGACTGGTCACTGCTGCAGTCTCTCAATGCAGTGTGATGGGTCTTGCATACTATCCGCTCCAAACCCTTGGTGTCCCTCCCAGATTTGCTTGTAGTGGGTGGACCTGCTGGGACCCTTTAATGGCTCTGTTCTTTGCACAGTCAGCACACGTCACTGCTACTTGTATAAAGTATTTCATTTTGGAAAGGCATTTGATGCACACAAAAGTGGCTTTATAGCCTTTGCGGCAAAGAAACAAATATTTATATGAATATATTTGTGTCCAGAGTCCAGCTTTAATAACCCTAGCTGTACAAAGAGCAGTTTCATTATGAAGAGAAGTGACACAGGCGAGATCAGATCAATGGAAAAACGGATTGCTACGGCATACTGAACACAGTTAGTTTACAGCTGGAGGGCTGCATGAACACATTTTAATATCAACACTACACAGTGCATGGTACAGTGGCCACATGGATGGTTTTAAATAAAATTCACTTAAAAATGAAGATCATGGCAAATATGTTATCAGTTAAGATGTCAAGATTTGCATACAACATCCTGTATTTTGGGGCTTGTAGGACTGAGAAGATACATGCATTCTGTGATGTGGTTTTTGAAGCCTTTAGTTATGATCGCTTTACTTTAAGCCCGTCGATATAATAATGGATATAAATAACTAAGTGGCACCTAAGTTAATGGGCCATTTTATCCAAAATCAGTGGCTACTACAATAAAGAGCAATAAAATAATTATCCATCTCCATATCCTTTCCTTTCTCAGCAAAGTGTGCATAAGCCTAGATGCATCAGACCCAATGCAGGTCTCCAGGAATATGACTATCCGAGCTAAAAACAGGAAAAAAAAACAAAAAAAAAACATTGTTTTGAGTAGTTGTATAATATAAAAAGATACATTACCTGCATTGATCAGATCTGGATCCACCTCTTGTTCTGTTGGATAGGGCCCCTAGAGAAGTCACGATATTGAACAAAAAAAAAAAAGTTACCACTCTGCTCAACATGCAAGATACATGAACACTTAGAGGTCCCATTTTAACATGCTCAATGTATCCACTATATCAGCTGCCTTATGATCACACGCTGAAGGCAAAATACTCTATTCAAGTATTTCTAGATTTCTAACAAGTAAATTATCTTTAAAAAGCATGACCGTAAGCTTTGTAACTGCAGGTACTGTGGAACAATCCATTCTCAAATTTCACAGCAGACATAATTAACTGCTTGAAGACCAGGTGTTTAGATCCCCTACCTGGCCAGGCCATTTTTCAGTGTTCAGCGCTGCGGTACTTTGACTGACATTTATTCCGTCACGCAACGCTGTACTGAAAAATGAATTTTATACCATTTTTTGGGGACAGATAGAGCTTTCTTTTGGTGGTATTTAATCACCACTGCGGGTTTTATTTTTTACTATATTCAGGAGAAATTACTGAAAATTTTTACATTATGCTATAAAACAACTAATATTACACACTTTTTTGGTAAAATATAAAAGATGGGGTCACGTCGGGTAAATAGACACCAAACATGTCAAGCGTAAAAATTGCGCGCACTCGCAAAAAACTAGCATACCCAAAATTGGCCATAGGCGACGCTTTAAAAGCTTTTACCGCTCATCAGTTTAGTGTTATCAGTGATTGATGGCCCTA